CGACATATTAGGGATTTTCACTTTCAACCTATTTTCTCGCGCAGAAAAGTATCAAAATCAAGTCGCATTCGCTTTTTGGTTTTTCTAAATAACCGAGACTATAGCTTTCCTCGAGCTTTGTTTACTTTATAGATATTTTGTAACGGTARAATCTGAAAATATATGATTAATGATCGGAYGAGGTCGTGGCCGTCAGTGAGCCAAGAAAGTAGCTGGTCAAAAAATGTTTCAAGTTGGAAACTTGTTTCACAAGTGGACAGTGCTTGTACTTTTGGTAGAGACATRCGAAACTAAAGTCCAAAAAATKAAAGRAAGTATACTAAACACTCGTTCAAATTCCAAACATTTTTGTCAGMAGAAAAKTTTTATAAAGAATGSAAACTAGGATGCCGCGAAATAGAGTTCTCAAACGTTTGTATGGCTTTGCATACTTTTTTTTAATTAAGCAAACGGAGTATAAATTAGGAAGAAATATGTGCAGTCTGTATACTGAAGAATCTTACTTGAAAAAGATATAAAAACACTATCAGTATTTCATAGTTATTATAGAATTATTTACTAATAATAGTGTTTACTTGTTTACTTTGAGAACAATAAGACTCATGTTGGAMATTCAGAAAGTGATCAATCTTTTTACCTGATAATACTAAACAAATGAGAGGATATGTAAAACAATTAAGCATGAAGTTGAGTCATGAAGACGATTGTAATCCATTATATCGTCGTCAAAGGGAAGCAAGGGTGGTCGAGCGGTGTCACCGCTGTGGTCCCGGGTTCGATTCTGACTTGGGATCATATAGCTTGAGTTTGCTTCCGTTCTCTCCCTTGCTTCGAGATTTTTTTTTCCGAGCTCTCCGGTTTTTCCTTYCTAAGCAAAAACGGAACATTTCGATCCTTAGCTGTGCTCCGTGATAGATATGGGTCGGTTGGTTGGCTGCTTTGTGTGTGTGTGTTGTRATTGCCCTCATTATGATAGCGCCCTCGTATATACCGCATAACAGCGACTCGATCACGTGAGCTGCGTCCTTCGTAATTCAGCACTCGGGCTGCGAGGAATGGCGATTAGCTATCACCAATTATTAATTATTATTATTATTAAATAAGGTGGCTTCCAATGAGTGAAATAGCTGATTCAAGATATGTWGGTGACTTTGACTCTCCTGAAAGACCGAAATATGGTATTGAGGGCCGAGAAACCAAGACTGGTGAACGAAATACAACTATGGACACCAAGAAAAAACAATGGGGTTTTCTATAGCTGACTCTTTAATCATTATGTGATAAATGAAATTATGAATTCTATTGGCCGATCGCAAGACAAAAATAGARAGAGGGTCAGAACTTCCAAAACTGATTAACATATGGTCATTCCAGAAAAACAATAAACCCATCGTGTGAAAGAACAGATTTCAAAWGGCTTGGCCAAGTTTCATGACGTTTGAACGTATGGCAACAACGTTATGAGCATTTAAACCATGGCAAAATTACAAAGAAGTGTATGGTGTTCAGGAAAAGCGTCAAGCATACAATGCACTTTTAAACGTTTTGAAAACGTTTAATAAACGGTAGCTGATTTCTTATTAATATTATTAGTCTTTTGTCTGTAGATCCAAAAAAGAGAAATACCGCGGCCCAAATACTTGCTCGCTTTGCTATCAGATAGTCCTTTTCGCGGGTTTAAAACGCAAACTGCGAGGGCCTGTCGTTTCGCACCAAAGCAAAGCAGAATCTAGCAACAGTCGCAAAATAATGATTTGTAGAGCCCTATAATTTTTTTTTTCAATTCGGTTTAACCCAATAAATGCATATGCAATTAAGATGAATAAGAATTGACGTGAGGTGAATAAGAATTGACGTGAGGTGAATAAGAATTGACGTGAGGTGAATAAGAATTGACGTTTGACAATTTAACGTACTCATAAGGCGGCTTTCTTTTAATATACATATTAACCAATGAGAAATTCCATTACTTGGTAAAAGAAATTCTCACATCAATTTGTATATATAATCGTGAGTAAAACGACGTCAGAACTAGTCCCCGTGCGTCATAAGAAAAGTCGGCAAATTGTGCGTATGAGATAGTTTTTTCTTCGTCGTCAATCAACCAATCAGATGCAAGCGCAAGAAATGAAAAGTGCTTTGGACCGTTACGAAGTGGTCAGTTCCTGCAATCTGATGTAGGAAGAGGTGATCATTATACTTATTTCACTGTCGTGTTAACTAACTAAAAATAAGGTAAGAACAGAAAATTGACAATATACATACTAAATGGTTGAAGTATGTATGGGACAAATTGGAACCTCGGGCAAGTCTTAAAAATGCATGTTGAGTCTTAAAAATGTTGGATGTCCCAAACGATTATGCCACACTCTAAAATTTCGACTGAATTTTTCTATTCAACATCCAACGTGAAACCATTGAGACTAAGGTTTTTAGCTAAGTTGATGATAAAATACAAACACTTGATAAATATTTTTCATTTATGACGACAATATTTATTGATCAAGACGATGTAAAAAACGAATTTATATCACAAACTTGTCAGAAATCTTTTCTTTTTGTTATAATGTACGTAATAGTAGGTCACAGTCATTCTTTTTAATACCCCAATGGTAAGCACAAGTTTTTTTTTGTGTGTTTTTTGATTTTACAGTATCCATGATAAAGTTTTAAGGAAAGACGCTCTAGACACAWCCACGTCGAGTTAAAATTTTGACGTTATGAACGTTTTTGACACTGTTGGTTCAACCGTGAGCAATTGAGATATTTTTCAGTGTCTCCTACCACTAGAGACGTAACGCTCCGTTCTTATATTCTCTTTCTTTTTTTAACAGATCCTAGAGTTTGACTTGAAAATCATTTGACAATATCCAATCAGTTGTGGTTGAGGAATTCGTTTACGATGTCTAATTCACTATGGTCGTATTACATGATCAAGCCGCCATCATGGCTCCGCACTGTAGGTATGTAATACTCACTTCACTTTGGGAATAACTTCAGAATTGAACTATGAAGCTGCTATTTTATGAAATGTGAGGATATTATAATAATAAGAAAGTTAACGTGAAAAATATTCCGTATCCGTACGCAAAACTCGCGCGTTTCCTTGATGAGCCTAACTCCACGTATTGTCCTCCACGGAACCAGTTCAGCATCTTTTTCAAGTCTTTTTCGGATTTTCTTTCTCAGCTGGATTTTCTGTCTAATTTATTGTCTTGGTCTGTAAATTTATTTGTTAACCTCATACTCACTAGGTCTTTTCTTTAGATGCTATATGCCTTTTMAAGGCTCTTTGTTAAAAACCTTTAGTTGGGTCAACGTGTATCGTTTTGGCCATCTATCTTCAATATCTTCTTACTAGACTSTGGGATAACGGAATTTTTACTACGGATTTCTGTCTTCCGGTTTCCACTGCGCATGACTCGTTATCCAAACGGCTTTGGATCGAATTTTCTCGAGAAAATCGCCTTAAAGAAAGTCAAAACAGGAACGTACAAGATCCCAAGTAATTGATCTTCCTTCGGCAAAGTAAATTCGGTTAGATTATTGTCTGATCATGTAAAATTTTGGAATGTTTTCCGATC